TGGGAAATCAAACACTCATCCACAGTGCCAACACAGAGGTGAAATACCGGCTCTACTGACAAACCTCCTACTAACTGAAGAATGCACCAGTAATTCGTATCGTAATTAGAGACATTCCCAGATTTACCTGGGATCATAGATGCATATAAGAAGTGTCACTGGTGGAGGGTATCCAGTGTTTTTTAGAAAGGCAGCGGCATCACCTTATGTGCAAACCAGCTGTACCCAGCAGGGGCAGTCACCTCCTGCTGGATACATGCTTTCCAGAGGCTGGGAAGGGAGCCAGTGCTCTTCAAAACTTCCCAGCTAAACTGCTTTGGTGGTGTCATTATGGTACGTGCTGTTAACCAGCTGCTATGGTCTACTCCAAGGACTGTCAAGCTGCAGAGAGAAACAAGTAACCTCCTGCACTGATGTTTCCACCAGCACTTCAGCAGACATGACGAAGGCTGACACCAGCAGAGTGAACTGAGCTAGAGAGAAAAAAACCCCAAGAATTAAAGGAAGCACCATACCAATGAGCTGTGGCTCATCTAGTCTAGCCACTTGTTTCCAACCTTCAAAGACAGTCCTCAGAACACCTTCAGTGGACGACAGATGAATAACCTGTTGTTATATTGCAGCTCTTAATCTCTTTTTTGAATTAAAAGTTTCTTGTCAATCTATCCTCAAGCTTCTTACTAGGTGTTTTATCACAGTTGCTTATTTCTGAATCTCTCTCATTTCTGCTACCCGCATTTATGCGCGCGCGCACACGCACACACACACACAAATGGCATGGTAACTTGAAATAAGTCTTACACTCCATGGCACAAACCAGACTATTTCTTCTCCAGAGCCACTTAGAGCTCTTAAGTTACTGATTTACCACTTGAGGACTAATCTGAGCAAATTCTGCAGAAGAAAAACTAGACAATATCATTACACTTAAATTCAATAATGAGCCTCACCCATGGCCCAATATCTGAAATTAGCAACATTCATATAATCAGTTCCAGAAATTCCCAAATATTCTAAACACCTGCCTCTAAATGTCCCCTGTTGTAGCCTCTACTGCATTCAAATACATAGTTCCTGACTCCAAGGTCTTACGTGTTTTAAAGCCCATTCATCTTCAACCTTGCCCGTTTTTATTTTCCAACTGAACACCACAGCTACACTCTTCTCAACCATTTAAAAGGAAAATAAAAGCAAAACACTTTCAATAATTTGACCACATCATGCAAAAAGTGACATGCAAACATCAAATATCTAAACATCACACTGAAGTATGCGTGGCAACATCTGCAAGTCCAGATACACATGGGTAAGTTTAAATAACTGGTTCATAAAACTCTAAAATATCACAATAATGTCAGTGTTCATAAAACTTACATATTGGGCCTTTCAGTGCATGCCAGAATAGGAAAATAATAAACTTTTAGTATGCAGAGAGACAAAGCTTCATATCAGTTCAGATTCATACAGTTCACAGTATTAAACAACCATACTTCAACATTGCCAGGACATGAAATGTATTCTCTTCACTTTAAGATAGGCACTACTTCTGTCCTTGCTATACATACATATATATGTGTACACATGTGTTTAAATATACAGTTAGCAAAGTGTTATGCTATGGCTGCATTAAATTACTCCTTTCAAACCAATCAACCAAAGATGCAAAGGAACCAGACATGCAGAGGAACCAACATACTGTTATTTATTGTTGCAAGGACACACAGTACCAGAAAGACCTAAACAGAAATTACTTTGAAGTAAAAACAGACAAAACTCACAGTAGAAAGAAAACTGTTAGCCCAGAGAATTAAAACAACAACATTTCTGCAACATTTAATTAGAAGAGAAGAAATTATCTTGTATGTGAATGAATACTTGGAAGGAAATAATGTAAAACAGCTGGGAGCACTCTGGGATAAGAAAATATCACCTAGCCAAGTAGTACTAATTTACTTTGAAAACTTATCCATTAGCAAAAAATACACCAAAATATGTTTGCATATGGTCTGAGATAAAATAGGAATTAAACTTCAGATTTTGTTTCAATTAATATAGCTCAGGACTTTCAAAGAGCTGTATTTTCCACACAAAATGACTATGATTGACACCTGTGCGAGAGATGCACATTGCTGGTGTCCGCGTACTCCTTGCGCAGAGGTACTGACCTCAGACCATCTGAATAGGACGGAGCCAGATCTCACGTGTTCAGACTGAAACACCGTTCCCCGTGTTAGCTATGCAAACCTAGTTGAAAAAATGAAACGTGTGTGTCCCCCAACCTATTTGTGAACACACCTCAGGATCGACAGACTATCAGGGATAACCTTTTCACAGGCTGTGATTTCCTAATGGCACGAACTGGAAAACCTCCCCAGTTCACTGACTGCTTTAACAGATGAAAGCACTCAGTGTGCAAGTCAAAGGTACCAAACCATCACAAGAGATGCAGCACAAGAAAGAGAAAAGTAAGAGTCAACATACAAAATCTGACAGGACAGATGAATGTGCTCGTGGCATCAGAGACCTACTACAGGACACCAATGGCTTTTCTTTATTTGAATATGGAATTACTGGTAGTAAATAATTCTCCTCTGAATTTGAAAGAAACTGTTCAATGGCATGACACTGAGTCAAAGTGTCCACTTTTGGTTGCATGGGCCACTGTAAGAATGGTCCCTTATCAGAGAAGTGTTTGGAGCCCAGAACGAAACGAAGGCACCACACAGTTATATATATCCTGTTACATTCAATGGCCTTTTCAATCTCAATCTTATTGTAAACAGAGACAGCCACAAGACCGGGGAGAAAAGCAGCAGCTATCTGTATATCAATCCAATTCTGTTGACACGGCATCAAACAACTTGCATGAAACAAACCCAAGAGGAAATAGAACTGAACACAATGGACTTCTTGAACTGAACTCAAGAACTCCTCTTATGTCTGCAAGATTTTGGAGGTAAAAACATTGCATGGAAATGGTCCCTTTTGGTCTGTGGATGACTAAGCACTACGTGCTTCCTCAGTGGCAGAGGATTTACACTGGTCAGGAACTTTTCTCCAAATCCCTCCCAGTCATCCCCAGGAGGTGAAGTTCTACCTAGCATCTCCTAGCCTTTTCCATGCTGCTCTTCACTTTTTTGTTGGTGAAAGGTCAATGAACCAGGACCACACGGTTGCTCATAAAACTTCTGGTTTTGAAAGTATTGTTGCTCTGATAATATGGAAAGCATGGCTTACTACAGAAATTTAGAGCATATTCACAAAAAGAATCTATCCTTTTGTATTGGCTTGTTTACCTACCATGTGTATTACAGTAAAACATGATCTCCTGAAAGGCTATACTGTAAGACATTTCTTATGTAAAATGCATAAGGCAACAGGAGTAAGAAAAACAATACTGAACTAGAATAAAAGAAAGCCACTTTAGCTAAGCTGTATGAGAAAGCAGACACTGGGTTTCTTTAAGAAACTTGGATTCATATTATCTGTATAAATTGCCTTTCTACAGCAAGAAAGAGTCAAACTCTTATCAGTGGAAAAACTATTTTAAGATGTAACCAATTCAAAACTCTGCACAGGAATGAGGTATATCTTTACCCAGGCGTCATGCAGATTCACACAACACTGCAGACCTTTGAAAGCCGACTCTTTTTCTGGAAAAGGCCTTACTGAACAGGGTGGCTCCACTGCCTACATATACTCCGGAGATGAAGTCTGAAGTCAGTCCTCATCGCAGAAGACTGGGCAGTCAGCTTGCAGCTGGTCTTTCATCTCACCTTCTATCCCTGTCAGAACACGGGGTGCACAAGAGCTGTCACTAGCAAGGCAGGCCGACTGTCATCCTAGATCTGTCCACACTGGCATGGACATGCCAGTGAGTCCTCATCAGCAAGCTGCTACCTGGAAATCTGCCTAAGTGTGAGCTGTCACCACCCAACTTCTGAAATGCAGCGCTACAAGCTTAAAGGTCAACATAGTTAGAAGTTCACAGCTGGTCTTCTGCAGGCAGATTCACATAAAAGGATAGGTCGCAGAGAGAGGACTGATATTTTTCAGTTGGAGTTTTGCCTCACTAAAGACAGAAGACTAAAGCCTTGTCCGTACGGGGGAAGGTCCCCAAACTGGCTATTCATGGGGATGTTATTACGGAAGCAGCACAGGATAATTCTGGCAAAAAAACATTACAGTAAAAGAGACATGGTAGAGGATTTTGAGGACTAAAATGGAAGATTACATAAAAACATAAAAGATGTGATTTCAGATAAGAAGCTAACTTCATCTGAGGAAAACTGAAAAACACAGAGTGGACTTTACTGGGCTTTCCTGCCTCTACCACCTCCCTGCACC